ACAACACCAAGTCAAGGGTTAAGATCCCCTTACCGGTCATCTTTATTTAAAAAAAAAAAAAGGAGGAAACAGACAAATCCAGACAAAACACAACTTGTGGGACAACTTACAAGACAACTGTCTTAGACTCTTCAAAAGTGCCACTTTCATAAAAGACCAAAAAGAAGTAGGTAAATGTTTTAGACTAAAGGAAACAAAGACATAACATGGGATACCTGATCTTTGATTGGATCCTGGATCAAAACAAAACAGATCTAAAGAACATTATTGATTTTTGACTAAGATGGAGTAACAGGGACCAATTTAACTTCCCACCTGAAAGAACTGAAAAGCGAGACAAAATATACGAAACAACAGTTCTGAAGACATTGGACATCAGGCAATGACAGACAGTGATCTCCAAAAGATGGGAAATAAATGAAGTAAGCCCTGTGACTGCCCAGCTTACTGCCTTGAGACAGTTTCCAGGCTGTGGTGCAAGGGTCGGGGAGACTCAGGCAAAGACTTGTGGACTTCTTGATTAAGGAAATGGAGCTGAGAATCCAGGAAAACCGAGGTGACAACAATTCACAAAGCAGAGTACTAGACAGAAAAGAAGTGCACAGAGAAAGAACTCTGGAGTTATGCAGAGGGGTCTCTCGAGTTTTCAGCAAAGTACTGATCGTTGCGTGTGTATGAGGAAACTACTCAAGGCTGGGGAAAGAACCAGTTGAAAGCATTAGACAGGCATGGTGCTGATAACACTCAGGTCAAGGGTTCAGATCATCCTACTGGCCATCTGTAAAAACAAAGCAAAACAATTAAAAAAGCATAAGGAGCTGGCCCTTGGCTCACTTGGGAGAGCGTGGTGCTGACAACACCAAGTTGAGGGTTAAAATCCCCTTACCAGTCATCTTTTAAAAAAAATAAAAGTATAAGAATAATTGAATTATATGCAGGGTTAGGAATAGTGCCTGTTCCTGTGACAGCCTGCAAAACCTCATGAGTCAAGGGCCATTGGGTACTCAGAAAGGTCTTGCCTTAACAGTTGTGAATAATGAGCTCTACACTAAAGGCTACTCTGTGATCCCAACTAACAAATCTTCAAATTTATTTTTATTTTTATTAATATTATTATTTTTGCCTTTTTCGTGACCAGTAAGGGGATCGCAACCCTTGGTGTGGTGTCACCCGCACCACGCTCAGCCAGTGAGCGCACGGGCCATTCCTATATGGGATCCGAACCTGCGGCGGGAGCGTTGCTGTGCTCCCAGTGCCGCCTTCTCCAGAGTGCGCCACGGGGTCGACCCCAAATATTCAAATTTAGACCCAAAAGGATAAAATTGTTTTGGGGTTTTTTGTTTGTTTGTTTTTGTTNGGTACTCAGAAAGGTCTTGCCTTAACAGTTGTGAATAATGAGCTCTACACTAAAGGCTACTATGTGATCCCACCTAACAAATCTTCAAATTTATTATTATTATTATTATTATTATTATTATTATTATTTGCCTTTTTCGTGACCGGGAAGGGGATCGCAACCCTTGGTGTGGTGTCACCCGCACCACGCTCAGCCAGTGAGCGCACGGGCCATTCCTATATAGGATCCGAACCTGCGGCGGGAGCGTCGCTGTGCTCCCAGCGCCGCATTCTCCAGAGTGCGCCACGGGGTCGACCCCAAATCTTCAAATTTAGACCCAAAAGGATAAAATTGTTTTGGGGTTTTTTGTTTGTTTGTTTTTGTTTTAAGATGACCAGTAAGGGGATCTCAACCCTTGACTTGGTGTTGTCAGCACCACGCTCAGCCAGTGAGCCTACCGGCCATCCCTATATAGGATCCAAACCTGTGGCCTTGATGTTATCAGCACCACACTCCCCCAAGTGAGCCACGGGACAGCCCTGATAAAATTGTTTTGAGTAATTTAACTTTACCCAGAATATGCTCAAGCATATTTACAGGAGTATAAAAATATACAGCACCCAACAAACTAAACTTCACAATGCCTGGAATCAAATTAAAAATTACCAACAAGGTTCAATTCTGGTACCATCCAGCCATGGAGCAGGGGGAGGGAAATTACCAAGCATGCAAAGAAGAAAGAAAATAGGACTCATATCAAGGGGAAAAAAACAAAACTAACCTAGAACCTACAAGTATGTTAGGATGAGCAGACAAAAACATTGGAACAGTTATTATAAATGTATTTGGCATATGTTAAAAAACTTAAAGACTGAAAAAGTTAAGTAGAGACACAGAATATATAAAACAGGGCCGGCCCGGTGGCACACTCGGTAGAACCGTCTGTATGTGCACACTCGGTAGAGTGCGGCGCCTGGGAGCGCCGCGGCGCTCCTGCCGAGGGTTCGGATCCCATATAGAGACCGGTCCACTCACTGGTTGAGCG